GCATCATGAAGCATCATCTGAAGCATCATGAAGCATCATGAAGCATCATCTGAAGCATCATCTGAAGCATCATCAAGCATCATTTGAAGCATCATGAAGCATCTGAAGCATCATGAAGCATCATCTGAAGCATCATGTAGCATCATCTGAAGCATCATCTGAAGCATCATCTGAAGCATCATCTGAAGCATCATGAAGCATCATCTGAAGCATCATCTGAAGCATCATCTGAAGCATCAAGAAGCATCATCTGAAGCATCATGAAACATCATCTGAAGCATCATGAAGCATCATCTGAAGCATCATCTGAAGCATCATGAAGCATCATTATCGTAAGGGGTTCTTAAATGGAGATATCGCAGGTTGAAGATAGACACACTTGTAGGAAGGTAACTATATTGTCAGACTGAGATGAGGGATGGAGCCCAGCTGCCTTGCCTGTCTACGCCTGGATGGTCTGCCGCCGAGTGAGGCCGGGACAGAGGGATGAGCCTCCACGTGTGCATCCCGTGACGTCACACAAAGCCACAGGCCTACAAGGGATCTCATGTCTAAAGCACATGGATGATACTAATGCTATGCTATATCATACAGGGAATACAGGGATCAGCAACTATGCTGACAGCTCGGTCATGTTACGTATGTTGTCCCGACATACACTACTATACTATAGGCTGAACAGGCAGGCGGATCTGGGCTGATTCTATACAATAACAAATTCATACATAACTTAGAACTAATGGATGGTACAACATGATTTTGACGTAATGGGTGTTAACGTAATGAGTTTTAACGTAATGAGTTTCATTGTAATGAGTTTCATTGTAATGCATTACAAACTATAAGAACAAATCATTATACAATATGGGTGGAATTGATCGATCGATCTGTATTCATGCACTCTACGGATTCTGAGGAAGAATAAATATATACAAAGAAGTGTTTAACAGAAAGGCAGATTCGGTGCACTCAAATCTAGACTGTTAATTCTCAGAATACGGAGGGAACGTGAACACGAAAATTTCTGACAAACTGATCAGCTAATAACAAAACACACAGTTGACAATTTCATTCATCTCGGACATCTAATTATACAGACTATGTACATTTAAACCCAGTTCTGCGAGGGTAAGGTTTACATATGCAGAATGGTTATCATCTCTGGGAGGATCGAATTCCTCTGCAACGGCTAACACATGCCTTGACTGAGAGAGATCTGAAGGAGTATCTACAAAAGATACAACTACAATCACTAGTGACTGTGGAATTACTAACTCGTCTGCTAGGAGTACTCAACTCGACTATTCGATACAGTAATTCTTGGCTCGTTACAAAGTCACTAATGGGTGCTGGTGGCTTCACAGTAAGAATAAGATCTTCCTGGAGCAGGAATCGAATCACACCAGAACACATGGGATCGGTTCTTTGGGCATTTTTGACATCCTCGACAGTAAATGGAGGATCTGCAGTAACTACACTAACGTGTCGCGATAAAGCATCTGCGACTACATTTGACTTGCCAGGTAAATGTTCAAAAGTGGGATTGAACTCTTGGATAGTCAAGGTCCATCTGGCTAACCTTCCAGTAAGCTGTTTGCTCTGGAATAATGGTAACAGTTCTTCCTTACTGGAGGAAAGAACAAACTCGGTGGAGTGGATGACTCCCCCCGGTTTGAAAAAATTAACGCTATAACACGCAATATGAGCAAGGGAGAACGAATCTACTATCTCAAACTGCAAGCACAGGAGAAATTAAATAAACACGGTGAACAATGCTGATATTCAATCTGAGTCGCACACAGTGACACGAGGTATCAGCTATAAAGAAACTACACTTACAAACGTTAACATATGAAAGTTATTCGAGAAATAACTTCTTACAATGCACTGATTACTGTCAACTAGGATGGGATCACCATCTGGAACATTAGGAACAACAACAGACACTCTAGTGAGAACACTAGCTGTAACAGAGACGTCTTTCTGCAGACAGCATGTCACATCAACAAGAGATGGCATTACTAGTTGCAAGTAATCGTTTTCTGACAAGGCATCCCTGTGGAGAAACTACTACTCGAACTAGCAGTCATTGCAGGGATAGGCTGTGCACTCAAGGCAGTCTGAGTGTCCCCAGACACTTGAGGCAACGGAACACTATCCTGCAAGTCTGAAGGTATAGGTGGAACACAGACGGGAATGACAGAATTACTAGTGCCTGACCGCTCGGCTACGTTAATAAGTAATTCACGGATCTATAGGAACTTAATCTGAACTTCACATTTCTCAGCACTTTAACAAATCTCAGATACAAGCTGTGAGAACAAACACATTGCTCAAGGGCTAGATATTGTCTTTCAGTCAGTAAGGGAATGTTGGTACTGTGGACTGATTCATATTGGCTTTGACTGGAATGATACACTAAGTGAACGTTCAAAAGTGACTGGGACATCTTCTCAGTGAAAATACTGAAGGGCATAAGGCAAGAAAAATGGAGAGAATGACACAATAAGCTTAAACGGAAGAAAATGCTTAACTATTCTGCATAAGTAATTAAAAATTGACAAGTTACACAGTAAGCAAAGAACTCACACAAGAAGAATATGCAACTTAACAAACACTGAAAATCAAGAGAACTTGTACTTTGCTCAAATCTAATTTGCTCAACTTTTACTTTAAATTGAATAAATGGCACAGTGAGTTGTCTTTACTTTCGATGCAACAAGGAAATACACAATAAAATGATAAAATGGACTCAATAAACTTGTGCAAAAATTAAAACAGACACAGACAGAATAAAATACTATGCACAGAACAGAGCATAAGAAACTGCACTGTAATAAACTGTAGCAATATATCAAATAATTGCTAATCAAAAAAGTATTGCACAACACTGCATAAAATTTTCTGCAAGAAAAACTTTAATAGCAACACAATATTTGCACAAGAATTATTGCAAAATGAGTCAATGTGCAATAATAAAAAAAAATTATTACACACAAGAAAAGAAATATATCAAGGAATGAACACTTTAACTCTTAACTGCACTTAAACAACACTTAACAAGCAAAAGAACAATTTACTTTAAAGGAGAACTTAAAAATTGCACTAAGAGTGAATTTGTTCAATAAAACATGAAAAATAATAGGTGCTAAAAACACATAACAAAAAGGAACACAACACTTACAGTGATGAAGAACACAACACATCAACATAAACACAGTACAAGAATTTTCTTGCAATGAAACTTGAAATGTTAAAAATTTTGTAAAAGTGATTTCTTGCTTGGACTTTAATAATGGCACTATTGTCTGTGGAAATAAGACAAATTAAACACTGGCTGAATGAAAAGAATATGAACACAAGAATGTTCAACACACAGGGAACAAAACAAAAATACACAAATGCTGGGAAGAAAAAATAACAGACAACACTGAGTTGTGATGCAGAATATGAGGTGAAAAATTTACTGAAATACTTCACTGGAATACTGAGAACACAAAGTGATTCTGAAGTGTAAACACAAGTTCTATATTGCTCATATGTTGCACACACAACAAAGGAAAAACACTAAGTACTTACTTCAAGTGTATAAAAAGATACACAACACAACAGATATAAAATAATGCACGAAAATTAACACTGAATTAAGGAGATTAAAAGAAATTAATGCAATCAGTACATGATAAACACTGAGTCTGATCAAGAGTCACTGAATGTCACTAAGAGAAAAAATCACTGGAAACACAAAAGAAATGTCTCAACACTCGCAAATGTCTCTAAAAAAAATATTATCGCTGTAACAACTTGAAGAATGAGATTGATGGATTGTTTATATGGTCTTGCTGCTGTCCTCTGCACAGATGATCGTAGAATTGCGCTTAAATCGAAGATGGACTTTACACAGGAGGCTTTTAACGGTGGCGCGAAACACAATCTAGCTCTTGACCCCCTATGTGGTCCTTAAAATATGGTGCTGGAACCCATAGTAGTGTACCAAAACACTGAAGAAGTTTGGTGAGTTTGTAATGGCTGACTGTAGTTGGGTTTATGGGTTAACGGATCTGAGACCGGCAATGATGAGACACGTGATCGTGAGTGGCTGGGCTTATGGGTTGAACGTCGTAAGCCTCACTGAGAACACCCACACTGCCGCGAAGATAATTCTAAGCCGGCTGGCTTAAAATAAACCCACGAAATACTACAACACCACAAGGATGAAAAAGAGCACTCAGAATGCTTGGAGCTTGAATCACAAGCGATGAAGACTACTCACGTGGCTTGCTTGAGTACTGGGGTAAGACACCTGGGTTAGTTGCTAGCTGGCTTATCTTAACCCTTCACACAGAATGGCTTGATAACTCCACACGATGAGCACAGCAGGGGTGGAAGCTGGCTTGGCAGGCAAAATAATTGGATGGAGTAGACTAGGCTCGACTGGACTCGGTTGTTCTGACTCCCCCACCACAGACTGGAAGCTGGCTTATTTTGCAAACTCGGGTCAACCCCTCGGGAGTGATGCAAATAAGCAGATAAACACTAATACAAAGAGACTGACCAGTGAATAATGTAGAAGCTGGTAGAGTAGCTGGCTTGAGGTAGCTGGCTTGAGGTAGCTGGATGGGGTGAATCTCGGTAGGCCTACTGATGACACGAAATGGCCGTCTTGCTGGTCGAAATTTTATCTCCAGAAATCGCTGTAATCGTCAGAATTACAGGCCCTCCGCTGGCACCATTTATCGTAAGGGGTTCTTAAATGGAGATATCGCAGGTTGAAGATAGACACACTTGTAGGATGGTAACTATATTGTCAGACTGAGATGAGGGATGGAGCCCAGCTGCCTTGCCTGTCTACACCTGGATGGTCTGCCACCGAGTGAGGCCGGGACAGAGGGATGAGCCTCCACGTGTGCATCCCGTGACGTCACACAAAGCCACAGGCCTACAAGGGATCTCGTGTCTAAAGCACATGGATGATACTAATGCTATGCTATATCATACAGGGAATACAGGGATCAGCAACTATGCTGACATCATCTGAAGCATCATGAAGCATCTAAAGCATCATGAAGCATCATCTGAAGCATCATGAAGCATTTGGAGCATCATCTGAAGCATCATGAAGCATCATTTGAAACATCATGAAGCATCATCTGAAGCGTCATCTGAAGCATCATGAAGCATCATCTGAAGCGTCATCTGAAGCATCATGAAGCTTCTGAAGCATCATCTGAAGCATCATGAAGCATCTGAAGCATCATTTGAAACATCAAAAAAGCAAACTGAAGCACATGAAGCATCTGAAGCATCTGAAGCATCATCTGAAGCATCATGAAGCATCATGAAGCATCATCTGAAGCATCATGAAGCATCTGAAGCATCATGAAGCATCTGAAGCATCATGAAGCATCTGAAGCATCATGAAGCATCTGAAGCATCATAAAGCATCATCTGAAGCATCATCTGAAACATGAAGTATCATCTGAAGCATCATGTAGCATCATCTGAAGCATCATCTGAAACATGAAGTATCATCTGAAGCGTCATCTGAAGCATCATGAAGCATCATCTGAAGCATCATCTGAAGCATCATGTAGCATCATGTAGCATCATCTGAAGCATCATCTGAAGCATCATCTGAAGCATCATCTGAAGCATAATGAAGCATCATCTGAAGCATCATGTACCATCATCTGAAGCATCATCTGAAGCATCATCTGAAGCATCATGTAGCATCATGTAGCATCATCTGAAGCATCATCTGAAGCATCATGTAGCATCATGTAGCATCATCTGAAGCATCATCTGAAGCATCATGTAGCATCATGTAGCATCATCTGAAGCATCATCTGAAGCATCATCTGAAGCATCATGTAGCATCATGTAGCATCATCTGAAGCATCATCTGAAGCATCATGTAGCATCATGTAGCATCATCTGAAGCATCATCTGAAGCATCATCTGTAAACATCTGAAGCATCATGAAGCATCATCTGAAGCATTCAACTGAAGCATAATGAAGCATCATCTGAAGCATCATGTAGCATCATCTGAAGCATCATGTAGCATCATCTGAAGCATCATGAAGCTTTTATGTATCTTTCATCTAAAGCATTATGAAGCATCATTTTAGCATCATCTGAAGCACCATGTAGCATCATCTGAAGCACCATGTAGCATCATCTGAAGCATCATGTAGCATCATCTGAAGCATCATGAAGCATTATTTTATCAATCATCTGAAGCATTATAAAGCATCATGTAGCATCATCTGAAGCACCATGTAGCATCATCTGAAGCACCATGTGGCATCTATCTGAAGCACCCAGGGTAGCATCATCTGAAGCATCATGAAGCTTCATGTAGCATCAACTAAAGAAAAACCACCCATTCACACACACACACATCCTCCTCATATACACCTACACTGACCCAATACAGCCTGAGCTTGCTACCATCTGCAGCTCATAAGACTGCCATCCCCACGAGCCCCTTTGAGGCGGGGTAGATGGCAGACCAGAGGCCTAGCCTCTCCCTACGAGCCCCTGAGGGCGGGGAATGTGGCTGGGCCTGGGGACACTTGGTCCCAAAGATAAGAAGGTACTTGTCCTTCCTCCCATGGGAGACTTAAGTCTCGAGACACTCCCCAGATAGGGAGCCAAGGCCGGGTCACCACTACTTGGAAAAGACCCGGGCCGGGAGAATACCGGTGAATAAAAAAAAAAAAAAAAAAAAAAAAAAAAACTGACCCAATTAACTATAACATAAAACTCCGAATATAGCTATTGCCTAATAAATCTCAAGCTAGTCCTAAGTTTGCCTGAGATACTCCAATTTAGAAGCTTGATAGAATCTGTTGTATCATGCCAAGACAAAACTATTCTTATTACTAATTTTTACGAATTGTTATATTCTTAAATGTTCTGCACTATTGTAAATCCATTTAATAATTTGTAATTTGTAATATAGAGTAAGAAATATTATTAGTCTGCCCGAAATGCTAAGGCGTACAAGACCAGGGCCTCACACCGTGGTATCATACTCTGGCTGGTGTATGGTACTATACACACAAGACAGCGGTGTACAAGACCAGGGCCTCACACCGTGGTATCATACTCTGGCTGGTGTATGGTACTATACACACAAGACAGCGGTGTACAAGACCAGGGCATCACACCGTGGTATCATACTCTGGCTGGTGTATGGCACCATACACACAAGACAGAGCGGTGTACAAGACCAGGGCCTCACACCGTGGTATCATACTCTGGCTGGTGTATGGTACTATACACACAAGACAGTGGTGTACAAGACCAGGGCCTCACACCGTGGTATCATACTCTGGCTGGTGTATGGTACTATACACACAAGACAGCGGTGTACAAGACCAGGGCCTCACACCGTGGTATCATACTCTGGCTGGTGTATGGTACCATACACACAAGACAGCGGTGTACAAGACCAGGGCCTCACACCGTGGTATCATACTCTGGCAGATGTATGGCACCATACACACAAGACACAGCGGTGTACAAGGCATAATGCAGTGCATAATGCAATGTCTTGTTGAATATAGAATCTGATCCTGCTGATGTGTTATCCCGTGGTGGAGCTTCTAGCACTGGTGGGGCGTCTGTCTCTGATGGGGCGTCGGCCTCCAATGGTGCGTCGGCCTCCAATGAGGCGTCGGCCTGTGATGAATAGTTGACCTTCGATGAGACGTTGGCCTCCGAAGTGGCGTCGGCCTCCGATGGGGTGTCGGCCTTTGATGGGGTATTGGACTTTGATGGGGCGTTGGCCACTGATAGAGCGTCGGCCTCCGATTGGGCGTCGGCCTTTAATGGGGCGTCGACCTCTGTTGGGGCGTCGGCCTATGATAGAGCGTCGGTCTCCGATTGGGCGTCGGTCTCTGATGGGGCATCGGCCTCTGATGGGGCGTTGGCCTCTGATGGGGCGTCGGTCTCCGATTGGGTGTCAGCCGTTGATGGGGCGTCGACCTATGATGGGGCGTCGTCAAGTGGTGTATCTTTGCCAAGGTTATCTACTATCTCCTCCAGTATTTCAACCACCTGAAGGATTGATGGCCGTTTAGATCTGTCATCCTCCATCATGTAATCAATCAGCTTAAGAAGATACTTGGGACCAGGAATTTTCCATTTTCGAAAGTAAGAATCCAGAAGTTTGTAAATCGTGAATCCAAGGGAGTACACATCACCTTTTGGGGTGCATGGACCTCCAAAAAATACCTCAGGTGCGTAGTGAGGGAAATCCTTATGTAACTCATTTGTATTACTCCAGTTGAGGTGGTCTCCCACCTTTTTACCGAGTCCCAAGTCAATTATGTTTACCTCCAGGGTATCACCTGTGTCACTGATCAGAATGTTGTCTGGCTTCAAATCGTTGTTAGTATATCCACATTGGTGGATGTCCTCTAGGTTCCTGGCCACCTCAACAAAAATTGAAAACAATATTTCTAGGTCTAACTCCTCGTTATTCTAGCAAAACTCATCCAGAGTAGTGCCACCTCTAAAAGAAATAACCATTGCGGGAAAGTTGGTGCAAACGCAGTACAACAGGGGGGTTCCGCCAGCACCTTTCAACTCGGCTAATATTTTGGCTTCATCGTCAAATGCCTTTTGCTTCTCTAAATACTTGCCAAGTTTGAGACAGGCATACTGTTTGTTAAAAATCACTTTATATGCGGTGCTAGACACTCCGCACCCCAACTTCATTCTGTTTTCTAGATCACAGAGCTCATATAGTTCATCGTACGTAACGAAATGGTCTCGGAAACCTTCCTCAGGAATATATTCACGAGCCATGGTTAGGTATTACTGCCTTTTATGAAAGATCTAGCAGAGAAGTAACTTTGTTTTTCACAGTCACTCTATATATAGTTAGTTTAGAAAAAACAAAAATATGTACGATTATTATTATTATATTATATTATTATTATATTATTATTATTATTATTATTATTATTATTATTATTATTATTATTACTATTATTATTATTAAATATTTCTGATGTTTGTAATATGACTGTATGATGCAGCTACTGTATGTGTTGCTACAGTGAAATTACAGAGATGGTTATGGTAGAGGTGACAGTGGTGGTAATTGTCACAGTGGTGGTAGAGTGGTGATAATAATAGTGGTGGTTAGTGATGGTTGTGTTGGCCAAGATGGCGATAATGGTTGTGGAAGTAGTTGTGTAGTTGTAAGTTGTAGTGAGGTGGGTAGTAGTTGAGATGATGTTAATGATATTTGTAGTTTTGAGGGTTGTTGTAATTGTGGTGGTAATGTAGGGATGGTAGCAATATTGGTTTTGAGAATAGTGTGTAATTTTGGTAGCGGAGTGGCAGATGTCACGATTATTGTGATGGTGATAGTGATTAGTAATGATGATATGAAGGTAAAGATAATTATTGTGATAATGATAGTGGTGGCTGTAATGGTAGTGATGTAGGTGTGATGGTTGCAGTGATGGTAACTGTGATGGTAGTAGTGATTTTAGGTGTGATGGTTGCAGTGATGGTAACTGTTGATGGTGGTAGTGAATGGTAGGTGTGATGGTAATTGTGAAGGTGGTGGTGATGGTAGGAGCGATGGTTGCAGTGAAGGTAATTGTGATGGTGGTAGTCATGATTGGGTGAGATGGCTTCAGTGATGTAACTATGATGGTGGTAGTTATGGTAACGATGAGTGGAAGTGATGGTTGCAGTGGTAACTCTGATGGTGGTAGTGATGGTAGGTGTGATGGTTGCAGTGATAACTGGGGGGGGGGGGGGGGGGGGGGGGGGGGGGGGGGGGGGGGGGGGGGGGGGGGGGGGGGGGGGGGGGGGGGGGGGGGGGGGGGGGGGGGGGGGGGGGGGGGGGGGGGGGGGGGGGGGGGGGGGGGGGGGGGGGGGGGGGGGGGGGGGGGGGGGGGGGGGGGGGGGGGGGGGGGGGGGGGGGGGGGGGGGGGGGGGGGGGGGGGGGGGGGGGGGGGGGGGGGGGGGGGGGGGGGGGGGGGGGGGGGGGGGGGGGGGGGGGGGGGGGGGGGGGGGGG